ATCCTGTCACCATTCTGTAGCCAAGAGCCCTATTTCCCACTGGGCTTTCCTATCACTGATGTCTGCCAGCGCACCGCGAGCCCATCTGCAGGAAAACACAATGTTAGACAGTTCAAGAATTCTTGCAACTTAGCTAAATTTGGGAATTTTTTTTTTTTTTTGTGCAGGAACAGCTAGAGGCATACCCTTGACACAAGGCACGGGCTGGACCCTGTATTTGTTCCCTTCCTGATCTCATTCTCAGAAATGACGGTCCAGCTTCAGCTGAAACATCCCCTCCAAAATACCTAACGCAGATACCTGGCAGGGAAAACTGCGAGCAACTGATAACAAGGCCTTATTTTAAGGACCTTGAAAAAAGAGGGATGGGCCCAGTGACTTGAGACCGAGATGACTCTACCATGGGCTTGTCAAGTAGGCAGCACAGTGCTCAGGCTACGGTTAAGGGGGGCATATAAAAGGCACAGGATATGTGGTACCAATTCTCAGATCATTCAGGCTTATACTATGTGCGGTTAAGCCAGCATTTCAAAAACAGATGTCATCATGAATTGGCCATAACAGGCTTTCGACTGCGAGAAGCCAGCTGATGCACATGTGTATCACCTTGCCAGGACTAACGAGCCCATGGAAGTTTTCAGGGCCTGATACAGCTCCCGTTCAAAGCCAGTGACTTCAGTGGTTGGTAGCTCCAGCCGCTGGGTGGTAGACGGCATGTGGCACACACGTCAGACATGGGCTATTGCCGCAGCCTCCCTCTTTTGTGGGGAGGAGACCCTGAATGGGATTGTCCCGATGATTAATCACCAGTTAAATGGGCATTCAACAAAGCTGCTTTGGTGCATGCAAATGCCAAATGACATTTTAAACCATAGTTTAACTTAACAAGTTTTTTTTTTTTAACCTGTCAATCTCTCCCACCAGAAAAAACAGAAAAGCTCAGCTCATGTCTGATGTGCCAAGTTTCAGGCAAGATTAAGTTTTATGGCTAGTTACAAACCCCGGAAAAGAATAGGTTTATAATGGAAACACTGACAGACCCTAACCATAGCATGAAGAATAGCCACTCTACAGACCAAGGCTGTGAACGACCTCGATACTAATCCGTTCCATATTGTTAATCCTTAATTTTCCCTGCCTCTGGAGGGCACATATTTCTTAATAGGGAATTTAGCAATGATTATCGCCTTGGCGTAATTAAAGCACAAGGCAGTTAGTCCTGTTAACAGGTAGCTCTCCACATTTTCAAAAAATGAATAAATAAAACCGTCACCTTTCCAATGATCTGAGTCTAAGCTGGGAACTGAAGGGATTTGGGTTTTCCCTGATTTTTAGCACGGTGGATGTTGCTTTATTACGGATGATACAAGGAAGAGACGAACAAGCAAGAAATAGCGCAGTGGAACAGTGATGACAGACAAATGATCAACCTGTTAGAGAGACATGGGTCATGATCTTAAGCCAAGATAAGACAGGTCCCTCCCACCATATTTCCATCCTGCATGGTCCCAGGGGGACTTAACCTATACTGCCCTCCACATCTTTCTAACACTTGGGGACAAAGACCATTAAGGCTTCTTCCTCTGTGGCACAACTGGCCAGATGTGGCCTGGGTTGCATTTTCCTACTGTTCGCTGAAGTATCCGGGACCATCTGCAAATGAAGGCATTGGAGACAGCAGAGCCATGTCCCCACATGGTACAAGAAAATCCTCTTTCAAACACCTGTCTGCAAGGTTTAACATTCGCAATAGCCCAAGTTGGGGTTAGAAGGGATTGTCCTGCCCCTGGGAGGGTATCACAGTGAACATCAACTTCCAGACAGAAGTGCAAGGCACCTCTTCGATAGAGCTGACCGTCACATTCCCTCGCACCTAGGGAAAGACTTATTGGTGCCCTCATCAGTAAGCCAGCACTAAATTTCTACTACAAAGGGCTTTCGGGACTGTTGCACGCTGGAAGGGCTGGCTGGGAATCTGCAGCCAGAACAGTGCAATGTAAAAATCCAAGATTGCACCTAACTCTGACACACTGACCCTGCTATTGTTTGCTTCGAGACAGTGGAGCTTCACTTATCTGCATTGCCAACACACCACGTCCAGCAGGCTTTCCATGCTGGCAACGGAGGACCGCACCAAGTGGTCAGCTGATGGGGATCCTGGCAAGGGGCTACCACACGCAGGAGGCAATTGCAGACACACAAATAGAAATGTCCAATTAATGGCTGGGTTTTTCACTCCTTGCCCCGAAACATCTCGTCCCATCAGGATGCGAGAACAGAGGAATCGGGGGCTGCACCCGGTGTCGCAGTCCCTACACTCCTTCTAAAGAGTCGTTTTAAAGAACGGTGGCATGAAAAACAGCGTCTTGAGCTTTCAGAGTTAGCTGAGTATTGAGACAACCGGCCATCTCCCCCTCTCAGAGCTTTTGTTCCATGCCACAAGGAAGACAAAGGCTGCAGGGACGTCTATGATTTGGGGGGGTTGCAACCCTGAAAGCCAAAAGATTTTGATTTTAAAGCTAGCTTCGATTCTGGAGCATGGTTTTGAAAGAAGAGGGGTAAACTACAGCAAACTCTGCAGCCATTTCCCCCCACAATACAAGGGATAGACCTGGCAGCATGGATATTTGTCATTACTGAACGGCACACTTCTCTTTGCTCTGATTACCGTCATACATAGAAAGGGGGAGGCTGCTGTGAACAGCCCAGACAAACACAGATGAGTCCAAATGGATGTTTCACGCTAGACAGTGCCACCAAACTGGACCACTTCTCTATTTCCAAGGGGGATTAATATGCTCTCTAGGCAGAAAGGGGCCTATTATAATCACCTAGTCTTAGTCTGATCTCCTGTATAAGACAAACCACTGCAACCCAGCCAGCAACTTCAGGATTAAGCACATCACTTGTGCCCAAGCGAGAGCAGATCTTTTAGAGCTATGACAACTCTTCAAGTGATGTCACTAGGCCAATTTGAAGTTCATCATTGTCCTGTTGGTGGGATTTTTTGTATAACATTCCTGTTGTAACAGCAATAATTGCTTCTATAAAATATATCTAGATAGATAGATAAATTGATAGATATTCTTTCTAGAGAGAGAGCGAGAGATAGATATTCTTTCTACATAGGTAGATAGATAGATGTCTCTGGTCGCTAACAGTGCCATCAGGGTATCTCAGTTGGCATGTTTAGGCAGTCAGGTGTCTTAATGACTTGACACCCAGAAACCAATATCACACACAACACCAAATAAAAGCAGGAAGACAACTTCTTCTCATTCTACATTTACGTTTACTCTGGTTTCTGTAGCCCCAGTTGACAACTCGTCCTTTGCTCAGCGGAGGGTTGTTACGTCATTCAAGTCCGTCACCAGACACATTTGAAACTCACGTCAGGTCTTTGCATTGTTTTCTTTTACCAAACGAATGAATAATAATTAGTAAGCAATTAGCTGGCAAACAATAAATCTCAATTCAGAAATGGGTTTCATTCTTAGGTACAGAGTGGGCAGACTGCCTGAAAACAGGAGCATTTACAGGGAACTTTCTTACATGCGAACGCTTATACACCAAAAACTGGAGATCTTGGAGAAGTCAGCTGTTTTGAATACAAGGGCTTTTGTTCCATCTCGTTCTCTGAGCTCGGATGAAGTTCAGTTTTTTTCCCCTTAGTTTAATTTTGCTGGCCTGCCAGCTGGGAAGGAGCCAGAAGGGTCATCCAGCCACACCGTGCTGTGATGTATGGACAAGGGGAGTGCATCTAAGGTTTGTTTATTGCAGGATTAAAATTCAAACGGGTAGGACCATTTAAATAATTAAAGGGCAATAGAAAAAAAAAAGCCATGAAACCAAACAAATCAGTAAAAGTCATGGAAACCACCAGCAATATTTAATTCAGAAATTCTCTTTGTTAGGGAATTTCACTGAAAGAAAAACAGCTGGATGTAGTTGAATCCTCTAAATTAAAAACAATCTAACAGGGTCTACAGGGATAACTCTTTCAGCTACATATTGGAGACCAGATTCATTTCTACCAAGTCAATGTAATAGCACTCAAAGCTAGAAAGGAAATTCCTCAGAACTGAGGTAGTTTCTAAGTATCAGTACATTTTCCAATGCCTCACAAGGCAACTTAGCTATTTACAATCCATTTTTTCCCCACACATAAAATTTATAACTTTTCAATTTTATGCTTCCATGATTTGTTTTCTGAAGAAAAAAAATCTAGCCAGAATATGCCTATTCTACCAACATCATGTTTTAATAAATAACTGGCTACTTCTAGTAAAATTAAGCTTCCAGGATTGTTTATATCAGCCAAGTATATTCTGGTTTTATAAGTTTTGCAGAAATTTGGTGTGAAAATAAAGTTGAAGAAAATGCTGACCCTGAGCTAACAAGTAGTTAACGTTTCAGTATAAAAATAGAAAATTATCCTTACAACGCAAGGTTGGAATATAATCACAAGCCCTCTCTCTGCAGCTGGGAGGGCCCAGCCGGCTTCTGACGGCAGTCTGAAGCAGGAAGAGACTCGCAGAAAAATTTTTAGTCTTTCTGAAGACTTTTTGTTTTGTAACGCTTTTCAAGTTATTTCATTTCTTCCTTTTCAAAAATATATATACTTATTTATTTCTGAGTTGACACAATGCTGTTCCAGCTGGGAACACCGGAAAAAGGGATTTGCTGCACGTTCGGTGCTGTGGTCGCTCGAGGCCTTGCCCGGCAGGACCGCCCAAGCTGCACGGTCTGCGCCGACGCTCGAGTGACGCCATCCCCATCCTACCGGGTGTAACCCTCAAGCTACAGCACCCCAAACCCACTCGGATGACAGTGCAACGTGCGGCTGCCATACTGGCTGGTCTTTGTCCCTGTGGACCTTCCGATCTGGGGAGAAAGACCGTCACATCAAAAACAAACCATCCCTAAAAGTCAGTGACATTCGTCTAAACGAATCTGCAGACGAGACATGTGTTGGCACTTGCACCCCCAAAAACATGAGCTGCTTCCAACTTTACGAGTTTAATGCCTTACACCTACTGGGGGGGCATGACAGGAGTGAAGCTACGGGGATTACAGCGAATTGCAAGAGTCTCGGGGGAACAACGGGCCGCGCTTCTTCGCTTCGATATCCTCTGGCTCTCTTCTAACGTAACCAAATGTCCTGTAAAGAAAGTATAACCTGCTCCTGGTATTAATGCTTCATGCAAATGGGGCATATGGTGGATAGACCCATGACGCCTTCACATTCTGGTCTACTGTATAATAAAGACAAATTGCTTCCATTTCCCTCCAGATAAGGCAACTAACATAACATGGATAAATGGGAAGTACATGAAACATCTTTTGCTTGTTGGGCGATTGTCCCTGACCCCCTACTCCCTCCCCCCCCAGCCCATAAGATACCATGATAAATAAAACTTGCTTCTGTACAGATATTTCAGATTTCAGAAACACATTTGTCACATGCCAAGATAGGACTCTGGGGTGTTTTTTTTTTTCCTTTGTTTGTTTTTTGCTTTTTTTTTCATAAGAAATGTGGTAAAATAAAATAAAAAAAGGAAAAGTGATAAAAACACAAAAGCAGAGCTAACTACAAGTCTGTATATACACTTTGTTAGCCACCTTTCACACGGATTCTTGGTGAACAGGACAGACTAATAGTCCAAGTCCCTGTTGTTCCCAGAATAGCAAATGACAAGAAAAATCAATACTTTAAAATCAGTGGCAACATAGTAAAAACTGTACACTGTTGTCCATTAACTTAAAAAGCAGAGTCACTAGATGGTATAAAAGTGAGAATGGGTGCCTTTTAACTTTGATAATAGTCTTTTTTCCCCCACTTAGGTTGCACAGTTATCTCCATTGTCTTTGCAGGGCCAAGCACAAAATGCTAAAGAAGAAGGCTATTGCTGATAGACCAAGATTGGTGGCAGCAGAAGTGTTTGCAGTTTTATCGTTCTTGGTGTTTCCTGTAATTTCAGTCACATTGAACTCAAATTCCAGAGAGCATTGCTGCAACTCGCAGCCACTTCCACTTTCTTCTCCGCTGCTCTCGTCACCTATAGAAAACACAAGCAGTTCATTTGCATCCCTCCGCACGGATCTGAACAAAACCGCCTAACTCAGGAAAGAGCAGGAAAAACAAGTTTTGGTTTTACTAAAAGGTTTCATTTCAAACATTTGCTGAAACCCAGTCGAAGTCATAGCATCTCTAGGATCAAGCATGGACTTCCTTGCATACGTGTCTAAGTGAAACGCATGCTTAAGCAGCGTCTTGTACCGTACAGGGAAAATATTGGACAAATACCAGGGAATGCATTTACAGTGCAAACTTGGCATGCCTGCCTCAAGTACTCTGCACTCCAGCAAGCTGCCTCCGTAACGGAAGTGGTGTTGTGGCATCCACACAAAGCTTTGGCTGGGCCAGTTAGCACTGCAAAGCAAAAGGGCCAACAAGTTAATTAACCCACTGGAGGTTGCAACTACACACAGCTCAACTGCTTCTAGGCTTAGAGACGGCCGGTGGGGAGCAGCGTGGCATGTCCCAAGGTGCCACTTCTGGGCACAGTAAGTTTTCCCTGTGGGCACAGCAAAGGACCCCATTTCTCTACCTTCCACCACTAGGTAACGGATCCCTAATTCATATCACCTCCCTCTGGACGGACAAGGCAATGCCATCCAAAGATGAGCCATACTTACTTATGTCAATGAAGTCGACGTCATTTCCATTGTAAGCATTCTTCATTTTATTAGTCATTACTCGAAGGGCCATGATTTGCCGACGAATCACCATATCTGGCTTTGTGATGTCAACTTCTACCTCGGGATTATTCACCTGGTTGGCTAAGCCATTCCCTGTCACTGCAAAGTCATACCTGAAAAGTAGAGTTGGCCATTATTAGGATGCATGTTGTCATGAAGAGCGTTTCAAGGATTGGGAGAGTTTTCTTAACGTGCCTCACACATGGGCCTATTTTCAGTCAGGACACAAGGGAAACAGGATTTTCTCTGCTACCAAAAAGGTCTGGAATTCTTAAAATAAAATTGCTCATAAGGCCAGAATGGGGTTTTCTCCCATTTGGGCACTGATTAAAGAGTTTTGATCTTTCAACTTCATGACTGCATGACGTTCCCGTAGACATGAAGTGGGAACAACATTGTCTGATCTTAATTACACCAGTCTGAACCTGGAAAAATCAATCGATGGTGAAAGAGGTATTCAGGATTTGCACTGGCATGGCTGACATCAAAGTCTAGACCTACTAGTGTTAAGTCTCAGGCTAAGAGTTAAGATCTCAGAGAACTGAAATCGTACAAAAGGACTGAATATCCAATTTTCTTAACTCTAGCAAAAAGCAGATTATTTGTGTAATCAGATTTGTGGCATCGAGTATCACAAAGCACTGTTCCTGATTGGTTTTAAAAGGAGGATTGCATTGCTATTAGCCTGGCTTGACCAGGATCAGACCAAAAGCGGCTCATGGGAATATGTGGTTCTGAAGCAACACAGGGTAGAAAGATGCAGTCTAGCTCTTTGGTTTTAAGTGTTGAATGATCATGCTCAAATGAAAATTTATGTGCTGCAAGAAAAATCATCTTCATCTACAGAGGGAAAGAACTTTATTTATCCAGGATTTCAATAACAAATTGAGAGAGAATTCATTGCTTCATATCAACCTGACAATTAATAATTTGGATAGAAAGGGGATAGGTTGTAGCCATGTTGGTCTAAGGACACAGGCAGACAAGGCTCTTTGTGTAAACATGATACCTTTTATTAGACCAACTCAAATAGCTGAAAATAGCAAAGGAGAATTTTTCTAACTATCTGAGTTGGTTTAATAAAAGATATCACATTTACCCAAAGAACCTTGTCTGCCTAATTTGCTAGAATTCACTTTTCCTGTTAATCTACCTGATGGGAGACTCATTCTGGAAAAATGCAACCCTGATCATTCAGACACCAGCTCCCAACACAGGAAAGCATCTTCATCCAAGGCAGCATGTAAGTTCGTGCTTAACTTTGGGAGCTTGCTTAAGTCCCGCTGAAACAAATACTCCAAAGCCCATGGGCCCAGGGGAGGCCGGTCAATTAGATTTAAGAACATGCCTTGTGTGTGAAATGGTTGCTTAATAGCCCTTTTGAATAGAGGTGGATTTTAAGGCTATTTTTCAACCTAAATTATTGTATGAAAAATTTTGCCCAGCTCTACCCTGGCTTTGGCAGTGTAGGATCAGACCTGAAATGCCAACAAAGCTGTCTACTATAATAAGCCAGGTCGGGTATTCACAATGCTAAAGCAGTTGTCACTGGAGAAGAATGTGCTGAGGATCATCATACGCTTCTGGGAACTGGAAGAGTTTCTTCCTGGCCTACGTATCAGAAACACTCTGTGGTTTCTTGACTAAAGTACGTGCCCTACATAAGCTACGTCCCAAGCAGATACTGGGCAGATGAACAGCAGAATGGTCCAAGGGTTATTGCACTAGATACCCACATTCAATCCCCCCCTTTGCCACGTTGTTCCTTGTGTCCTTAGCCACCACACAGCCTAAGTTTTCAAGCTGTAAAATGAAGATAAGAGCATTGCCCTGTCCAAGAAAGGATGGTGTGAACTATGCAAGTACTATAATGGGCACCCAAGAGAGGTACTGAAGTCAGAGACAGCCAAAATGCAACCAGGCAGACTCTGGAAGGCTGAAGTACAGTGTCCCGTGAAAAGACGGTGAATTAAGTCAACCCTTCCAACCTGCTCTTGGCACTCCCGTTCCAACATTTGTCCTCATTAACGCTGCCGGCAGCCATCTTCTCGTCGTTACAAATGTTGCCGGGCAGAGAGGACCAAAACTTTTTGGCTTGCTTCAGCTTTTCCTTTACATCAGTGACCTAATAATAAAAAAAAGAAAACAGAACATCAAAGTTAATCCCCGCAGAGGAAGCTGGAAATGGAGTTACATCACAATAGCTACGTGTAGGCCAGGACCTCAATGCACGTAGGCTGGCGTCGTCACATCAGACTCAACAGCCTCTGGGCTTGTTTGGGTTTATTTTATTATTTCAATATAGAATTAAACCCAGATTTTCAAGAAGTCTATCTTTCAGAAGAGAAGCCAGTAAAACAAGCACTTACCTGGAAAGCAAGTGCTGATTTAGTTCCTGTCTAGACCTGTAAGTAGATTATATCCTTTCAAGAGTTTCAGATCCCTGCGATTTCCCTCCACTGCTTTTAAAGTGACAAAATGGAAAACAGACAGACTGCCGTGCACGTGTGTACACACACGCAGACATACACACCCTTTCTTCTTAATTCATTTAAAGCCTTCACCTGGAAAAGCTACCTTTTAGGCCTGCCAAAGCTAACCATGGGGGTGACAAAGCACATTATGTGCGTTATGAACAGAGCTTGTTCTGTAGCAGTTCGACAGGTCAACATGCACTCACCAGCCTATCTAAACTCGTGCCAGCAGCTGTAGTTGGCCGCTCCTCTGGATTGTAGGGTCTAAAGCGAGCGCTGAAACCGCTCTCAGAAACCGAGCGAGAGGTCCGGCCTTGGGCCAGTGTTTTAGGCTGCCCACATCCTTGGAAAACCTATGCAATTTAATGAAGTAGCTTTAGAAAACAGGCATTCAAACAAGACCTTCCCTTACGTTTCTTATCCAAATACCATCAATCAAACACTACTGCGCCACGCAAAAATAATAAAACAGTGCTAACAACACAAGAAAAGCATTTAAGGCGACATTTTCCATTAGCAGAGATGAATATCATGTGCTGGAGAAATAAAAACAGGATTTTCTCTTTAAGCCACTGTAAAGCATTGACGTTTTACCTTCTGAGACACTTGCATGCTGTTCTCCTGCATGTTCATGATGGCGTCGGAAATTTTCACATCAATCGGGTCCATGACTGACTCGATGTTAAAAGGGCCCTCCAGCCTCTCGGCTACCATCAACATGGAATCTAACATGGAAAGAGGCAGATGTGAAGTGTTTTAATCGAGGAAAGGCAAGCACAGCACACAGCAAGTACAAACAGCAGCCCATTGAAAGCAAAGTCTCGAGTTAAAGAAACCCTCTCCCTGACGCCCACAACCCAGCTGTCTTTTACCATATCGCTCTTAAAAAGGCAACCTAACATTGCATTTTGAGACTCTGGGCCATTGCACTTGGACAAGCACATGTTTCGCTGTCAAGAAATCTTTTCGAAGGAATCTCACTCATCGGTGGTTCAACTGCTGTCAAGGATGAGAGACCTATCGCGGCTAACGAAAACAGAGGGGACGACACGCAAGGGCAGGAGCGAGCCGTTGAAATGCCACTGCTGATCGGCGTGCATCTTGAGGAAACGTGCTCTATGCCCAGGCTTTTAGATCTTATTCCAGCAAATAAAAGTAAAGGGATTCAGATGAAAGCTTGGGCCCGAATGTTAGAAACACTTAATGCAAACTACATGCAGCAAAATCTATATTTGATCAGAGAGAACAATCACAGTTTTCTCTAATGCACTTGTCTAACACAACCTAACAACAACTACCCACATTAGAATAAACCTCTGTTTATAACAAAGGGCTTTTATCTTCCCATTACACAATAAATAATTTTCAGCGTTAGGACAAAAATATTGGCTTGCTTATTATTCATCCTGAAGACAGACATCAGACAAGAGTGCCTGGAACCTACAAAACTGAAGTTTGGGACTTTTGATAAAAAGGAAGGATTTTGCACGCGGGAGGAATCAAAGGTTTCTGCTCCCTGGATTGCACCCTTTGCAACAAGGACGCTACATGAGACCACAGCCAAAAGCTTGGGACTAATGGTCTGCTTTCCTGTATCACTCAGGGCAAGCAGATGAAAAAAAACGGATGGTGGCTGTCACCGCACGATCATTCCCTGATGCACATGTATTTGTCAAATACAGCATTAAACGTGTCCGCTAGCTAGGGCATCTCCATCATTTTCTTCAGGCAGTTATTATTGGCAGGAAGTTTTTCTTCATGTTCAACATCTATATTTCCATTTAAATCCTCCTATAACACACATGCCCAGTGTCCCTTATACCATGCTAGGGCCATTAGTCAGCTCCCTCTTTGGTGTTTACACACTTCAAATATTTGCAGATTGATGTTACCAAACAGGCGGCTGTTAGCCAAGCCAAAGCATCGCTAACTCCAAGTCAGCCCCTCCCTCCCAGTCGTTTCTGTTGCCCTTTCCCATCTCCTTCCCTCATTTTGTCAGAAGACAGTCACAAACCTGCAATTTTGTCAACGATTTGTGTTGAACCCATAGGGTTTGTGCATTATGCAGGAGGTCAGACTCCACGACTGCAATGGTCCCTTACAAAAAGAAAAAAAAAGGCTGTGCAGGAGTTCCCTCTCAACGCCGATGATACGGCTGTTCACTCCCATTACGCAGCAATGGGCGTTTCACATTCAAAGAATTAATTTGTGCCGAATTCAAGTACTTCTTAGGGAACATAGTCCCTTTATCGGGGCAGAAAACTTCTGTGCTTTTATATTAGTGCTTAAAGGCCTATAAAGAGATCCCATTTATTAAACAGGTTTTAGTCACTCTGTTTAAAATAAAAATCCCGGTATAAGTAAGATACCTGTACATTTTAAAAAGAACCTTTGTAGAGGAAGTGTTTTAGCCCCATAAGCCCAATTCTTCAAAATACAAATAAATCTGTACAGGTCTTTTCTGAGGGTTGGCTGACTGAATAGGCAACAGCTAACACAGATCAGGAATTCTCTCCGAGGGGCTGCTATTAGAGTTGGGTGTGCACAGTTAATTTAAACTGCAATTAACTTCAACCTTGAGAATTGTGCCACCATTCAGGAGCGGATTCTCTCCGTCTCTCTCAGTTCAGCCACGATGCGAATATTTAAGCAGTCAAGTCTGAGGAGAGCTACAATTTATAGAAAACACAAAATGTCCTTGCATGCACACGCACACACATGCACGCACCATTAATACCAGAGCTGCTACAATCTATAGGTAATGCAAACACATATATGCAAAGACTGCTAATGTGCACACACGCACACTATTAATGCCAGAGCTCCTACAACATATAGGAAGTGTAAACACATAGATGCAAAGAGTGCTAATCACAGACACATGCACATACACGCACACAGAGCATTAATACCAGAGCAGCTATAATTTATAGGACATGCAAACACATACATGCAAAGCCTGCTCACACACCCACCCACAAACACACCCACACACAGCATTAAGGCCAGGGCTGTTACAATCCATAGGAAATGCAAACACATACATGTAAAGACTGCTAATTACACACAAACACACAGCATTAATACCAGAGCTGCTACAATCTATAGGAAATGTAAACACATATATTCAAAGACTGCTAACACACACACTAATGCCAGAGGGCTTACAACCTATAGGAAGTGAAACACATATATGCAGAGTGCTAATCGTGCACACACACACAGCATTAATTCCGGAGCAGCTATAATCTATAGGACATGCAAACACATACATGCAAAGACTGCTAATTACACACACAGCATTAATGCCAGAGTTGCTACAATCTATCAGAAATGCAAATACATACATGCAAAGGCTGCTAATGAGACAGTCACCCCCCCCCGCCCCCCCGTT